CCGCACAAATCAATATTTTTATTCTGCCAGGCGAGTCTGGTAAAAACAAACTGATCCAGAAAGATGAGAGCTTGTTTGACCTGAGGTAGACTGACTCGGTACGGAACTTGATACGTGGACAGTGCTTGTGATTGGAGTCACCACTTTCCGTTTAAGCACCTTCGCCCTCATCGTTATCCTCTACTAACCAAAAATTTGGTTCGTTTTTCTAGCTGCGCTGGTCCATCACCGGGTCTGCTAACTAACTACTTCCAAACATGAAAGAGCAAGAAGGCGTTAGAAGTAAACATGCCAAGATCGCTTTGCATGGGCAGCTTGTAGATCGAAATCATAACACTCTCTTTACATCAAGATGCCCATAAACGAGAGAATGATAGCGGCAGGTACTGGCGCCATAAAAAGTACAAACCTTACCCTCAATGTCTTCTCCATTGCAAATCGGACACGGCCTCCGATTTTTCGCTCATGTGCGAGGCAAACTGGTGAGATTCCTGAAATTTCATACAATTGATCTTCAAATTTCACAAGAAAACTATTCCATGAGTTTTCAGCAACTTACTCTGTAATCACTAGCGTCATCTTTATCAGGATCTTCTACTTCATCGGGTTTCTGCTTAACGCCCATCAGATTTCCCAGCTTACTGCCTGCCAATTCCCAGTGCTTTTCTTGAGCCTAAATAAATTTTGATCTCACTAAAAAGCTCACATACAGATTATGTGCCTAACCTTTTTTCTTTCTTCCGACTCGCGGAACTGTCGAACAACTTTGCTTCCTCTGGCTGCAGCGACGGCCATGTCACAGGTAGTGTCAACTACCGGAATAACAGGTTTCGATTGCTGAAAATCAGATTTTCTCCGACAAAAATACTAGTAAACACAGAGGTTTTTACCTACTCAAAGTACTGTACCTTTGTGAATACAATGCGACCATCGAGAAAAGGCGGTACTATATTATGGACCAGCAGATTCACACGATTTTCATCCGTTTCGTCGTCGAACAAGAGTCGACAGCTCATCTGTCAGCGCAACCACACCTGCAGAATTGAGACGTTTCAGGCTGCGTAGATAGTGAACCAAAGAAAAACTATGCAACCGAAAAGCTCTAAGAGTTGTTAGAACAGGAACAACCGGAAACTACCTAGTTGAACAGGTACCCATCGCAATTACCTGATCTATGGAGCCGATGTTTTCAGAAGCTATTTTCCCGTTTTTATAGACTGCTGCTTCAGCGTCAGGCGAGGTCGTGCCGAGGTCGTTTTCTCTTGCCACTGTTTTTCACGCTTCTCCACGAACTCTTCGCTGACCTGCATTCATAAAGATCGTTGTCACTGAGCCAGAAAAAAGGTCTTCTCAGAAAATAAGTCAACAGAGGAAACATGCTGACGAAGTTCCACAAAATCACAGCAATCAATAATCGGATTAAGTAGATAAATAAAACCATTGCCAAAACGGATTTATAGATATATAAATTGATACTACCTTTGCAAACGGAGGTTGTACTTCCTCGTCATACACGCCATCGTTGTCATACCATTCACGATCGATTATCTTCTGCTCGGCTTCCCATTGCTCACGCTCAGCAGCATCATGGAATTTTGGCCTGTAAATTTGAAAGTTAACTTTTAATCATCCATTTACTATCAGAACTGAACATATTCGAGAGTAAAGCACCACTAACTCAAAGCCCTCTTCCTTCACTGATCGGACAGTATCCTCGCCGCGCGCATGTTTTCTGCGCTGTTCTTCCTCGCGCCGTTGCCGTTCGCTTCGCCATATACTTTCAACACCTGCGACGACAATCGAATTGTGTAATATTATATATATGAATAAATTGCACGCACTCATACACGAAAAATGACATAACATTTAGGGACCTAGAAAATGGTGACAGTAAAGTAGCCGGAAGACGAGTATCTGCTAAAAACACCCACCTAATAATCATAAATAAATTTAATATAGTGCCGACCAAATAAAACTCTGAACCGCACTTCTTTCAGAGCAAAAAACGCTCCCGACGAGGATGAGACACTTTCTAGGAAACGTGTGTCCAGAAGACTTTCGGACTGGACCTATCTATCATTCCAGCGTACCGAGAGGTGTAAATGGCGACTGCAGCATAAGAATAAAAGAGTTGCATGATAGTTACATTAAATAAAATCAGTAAAGAACAAAAAAGACAAGTAACAATAAACAAACAGGGTGATAATTTCGTAAAACCTAACTCATCGGCACTGAAAAAAAAACTACCTTAAAATCTGGGGTCTCGTATTCTTTGCGCTTTCTCTTCTCATCTCGTCGATCGCTGCGATCAGAACCCCTTCGATCTTCCCGACTGCCTTTCGAATCCCGTTCGTCATTACGATCTTTTCTGTCGCGATCTCGATCACGGTCACGCTTTCTACTATCAGCAACCAAACCGCGACGTCTCAGTCTCGATACTCTCAGCTTGCGTATCTGAAAAGAGCTGAATTAACTAGGAACGGCAGGGATAGAGCGATAACAAAGGGATTGATTTTCCATTTTATCGTGTAATGGGCTGGCTATGGAGGTATATGAAGCAACGTCATCAACGGTTGCGCTAAAGCACGGAGGATGGATGGAGCGGTGGGAAATGGCCTTGTCACCCCAAATGCGGTCGGTGGAAGAGATCCTGGATCGAAATCGAACTCCGACAGAGCCAATTAGATCTTCCACCGCTAATCATTATCGAGGTTCACAAATTTCTACCACACTTCTCCGAGTAAAAAACAATGAGAACAATGACCTCTTCGTACTTCCTTGTCTACTAATAAGCTAATTTTGTTAAACAATTACACATGGTTTCTTTAACCTTTTCATATAACAAAAAGCATTCAAATGCACTGCAATTCTCGATGGCATTCAAATGTGTGGCGCATCCGAAAAAGGCCTTCTTTAAGCTGAACATTTTCAACACAGAAAAGTGCCTTCAAAGTCATAAGCAATGAGTGTGTCGTAAGCATAATACAAATATTTACTGTAAAATAAGTACAGTCCAAGTAAGTGGAGAGTGCTAAGATCCTAAAAAGCCATTAAACCCTCAGACTCCACCTATGGGCGCCTAGAAATAAGGTTCATATGAATACGCGTTCTCAGAAAATCGATTTTTGGATAGCTTTTCAAAACTCTAACGACGCTTGCTAAGTGGGGAAATGACTATTATCCTAAGAGCCATCACTACACCCGTGTGATCATGAATCCATCAGATACATAGAGCAAATAGCCTGTATAAGCAAACACTAACTTCTGAATGCCTCGTCGAACACTGTCAGTTACTCCGACATCCGGAGTTTCATTCCCCTCGTGTCTTTTTCTCAAATGTTCTTCCTTCTTCGCCCGTGCCAGACGATCAAGTCCGAGTACCGATCTAAAAACAAGTACACACATTTGCTCTAGACGGAAGCACTTTGGAACTAGTTGAAACTAAAGAACCCCGCTGGTGTAAAACCAAAGTTCCCACATGATACACGGTGGCAAAGGTGCACACACAATCAATTTTCATTTTATTGCTGCACAGTTTGCCCTAATTTTAATTTTGCTGTAATCTGCCTGTGCTTGTAGTTGCAACGGCAAAACTAGATTCGCTTATCGTTTTCTGCTGAATCACACATGAAGTTTTTTGCTCAAAGATTAACATAATCCATGCAATGCAGTATCCATATAATCTGTCAATCAATCAGAAAGTGAGAGCACAAAGAACTGGCCAGAAGGCTCCGAAAAAGCAGAAGAACTCCTACAAAACACCAATTTTCGTGAATTAATGGAGATTCGAGAGCCTAGCTGACTCGCAACGCTGTTTTATGCCAAAGAGTGTAAAACCCAATTCACCGGTCAGCGAAGGAGCTATTACAGAGTAATGTTTAGTGGTGCGAAAGACTATTAGTGCCGAAGTTCCCGCGGAGCGAAAGCGAAACCAAACATTCGAAACACATTTCACGTAAAAGTAAGTAAAGCAAACTCATGTCATAAAAAACAGTACAGCCGTAGATATTGTGCACTATTTTGGTTGGTTGTACAACAATTCGATTTTGCTCAACTGTTACGTAAGAATCTTACTTCAGGCAAAGCGACCCTCGAAACTCTTTTCCATTCGATATTAACTGGAACGAAGGATAATACAATAATAAATGTTCCGCGCTTTCTCTGAAATTCCGGGACTGGGCGCGACACTTTGGAGGGCTGTAGCTAAACCAGAAACCGATCTTTTCCCAGCGTTCCGTGGATAGTTTCTGTTCTGTTCCAAATAAAAGATTATAAGAGAAGAGATTTCATAAAAACAGCGAGATTCTCTGATTTGCAAGTTAGACCTTTCAGACTTAGTTGCCTTTCATTCTACTTCTCCAATTTTCTTTTCGTTTCTTTTAATATAGTATTTTACACGATGAAAAAAAGGAGAGAAATGACGAACCACATATTTCTGGCCTACTTGAAGAACGCTCCACAGATACCATTTTGATTTAAACATTGTATAAATTTCTAACTTATCATCAATAAAAAGCGACGGCGGCTTTCTATCCCAACAAATATATTTCTATGCAGCTATACGGTAGTGACTACAAAATCCTTTACAAACCTGCTTTCCGCGTGTGGTTTTTTCTCACTGTCGGACTTTTCTTACGAATTTCTAATCCTCCGAAAGTGTCCGCTCGACCCTCGAGACGATCAATCGCCTCTTCTGACATCTTCATAGATTTCGATAACGTAAAACGAGGTAACACTTTTAAAAATTATTTTGTGAAGACCAAGTACGTTCTACGGCCCAAGAAGATTAAAGGAAGTGGTCACGATAATTCTCATAGGGACGATAAGGAAAGCTGTGTACTGGAGTGGATAGGGGTCCTGCCCAATGTTAGAACACGTGAAGTTTCAGTGGCAGTGGCGCCTTATCAACGGAGTGATAAGGCGCCGAAATCCACTTCCGTTCAGCAAAAACCAAGACTTATCGATGTGGAAAGGGGTGCGATAAGAGCGTGCTAGATATGATACCGTTATCGTTATCGTCCCGTTTTCATTCTGGAGTGCACCTCTTATCAAGCAGCCGCACCTTCTTATCTCATCGTATCATATCTTCCATGGGCTTACACTCGTCCAACAATTACTGCCTCACACCTTATCGATTGATAACGCGAGGGTAGCAAATCCAGCGTGGAAGCCAGCGTGATCGCTTCCTTTAAGGCCGGTAGTAAGCCTACTGTGTGCGTAGGATTTATCTCAAGCGACCGCTTATGCAAGCCTAGGATGGATTCGGTCGAAATGGTTTATTATAGTCGTAGCGAAAGTATTACGGCTCTCCTCCATAATAACCTATTGTTTGGATGATTAATGCCAATAGACACGGAGAGTGAGGGAACGTCGAGAATTACTAACAGGGGTCCTTTGTGGATTTCAGGGGCAAAGGAAGGCCGTATTAAGTGGAATGAATGGTAGTGCATCATTGGAAGGGAGCAGGAGACTCGTCCTGGCTATGCTGAAACAATTTGACGAGATAGCCTGGTCAAAATAATGCAAGGTGGGAACGTTAATCGCGGGCACTGCGGGACCTTGCTCCGAATTAGAGTGGTGAAGGTTACGCCAGACTGTTTCATAAAAAAAGAGTACCAGCATAACTCTTACAATCCCTTCAATCCGCCAGAGGTGCAATCTTTTCCCGCGGCGAACAGTGTCGCAATTGCAGACCAAGTTACACAAAGACATAAGTTGCTTCGAGAGCACCAAAAAGCACACGTGACGCCGATTTGTTTTCGAGGACGTCACGTGTGCTACTGAGTCTACATTACGCACACATTCGCCGCGGGAAACAGCGTGTAACCGAACCCAGGTTGGAAGCGCAGAATTCCGCTCACTCTCCACCTTCCACCATGCTAGCCAGTAAGCGGCAGAGTACAATAACATATTCCCCAGGGAAAAAATTCGAATGTGGAGGTCCTTTCGCATAATATATGTTCAGTCAGTAATATTAATCACTTGAATAAATAGATAGGACTTTCGAAACATCAATCGATACCATGCAGAACACCTTGTGACTGTCGATTTTGAACTGAATTTTACTGTAAACGAAACCTGACATTGTTATATTTACTGTACAATGAGCATGTGAAACCAATGCGATGAACTTCAAACAAACTGGGATCCTATTCACAGACTGACAAATTGAAAACAGATCGGGCTATTTTGAAAGTCGACAACCAACAACACTAATTACGAATAGAAAATGAAAATAAAACAGCGTATGAAACGGCTAAGAGGTGAATTGGGAAAGGCACCAAAAGCACTGCGTCAGCTTGTCAAACATATATGCAAATGAACAAATTCAAAACAAAAAGCATAGGAAAGTCTTGATTAACGTGAATCAAGCCAATGCTAGGCTGTATGAAAGTGAATGCAGAAACGGATACAGCACATTCTATAAGAATTAGAACGCAAAGCGAATCGTTGCGCAAGACTAACAGGCGAGGACGGAAGCCCAGTATGACCAGAGATGCTACTGAATTTCATGCAAGTAATTATGCTAGTGACACAAACAATTGTGAGAAGAAATGTAAATTATAATGGATGACGGCAAAGGGGAAATCGTCAAAGTGTGAGAAAAACAATTAGGAGACGCATGACCGAAGACAACGCATGACATAAACCCTTCACATAGTCTGACCGGCATGAGAATTCTCACAGCGATTTACCATCTAAAGTGCTGAGGCCGCACCAAGAGTTCCAAACAAACGTCTCCAAACTTTGACACCATCAAATATTCATTTCAGACAAGCTGCAACATGAAGTGGCTGGACCACTTCGACCCGACTTAAGCAGAAGCGGGAGAACTGCGAAGGCCTGATATGATGAGAGGAGGGACATGATGATCACCACGCTCACATATGTCGGCGTTGACTCCGAGGCATCGTGTTGTATGTGTTCTCTCCTCCTTCTAACGTACGTGATCTTGATCCAGAACGTGAACGATTCTTACGGCGACGATGTGGCTATAAAAGGTGAGGCTAAGTATGATGCAGCTATGTAAATATCCGAAAGCTATCAAATGTCTCAAACCTCCTCATCGCCTGATTCATAACGCTGGCCCATCGACCTCTCGTGCTCAGCGTCTTCGTCGTCAATCTCCTGTATTCCTTCAACCTGGATACGCTTCCGAGGTTCATTCTCACGATCGCGATTAACGTCACCAGCACTGTACGACCTGTGAAAAACGTTATTCTTGAGGGCTGGGCGATGAAAATCGAACTAACTCACCTCTGCAGCTGATTTACCAACTGAGCTTGACCACGTAGAGCAGCTTCGGCTACGATATCACGAGCACACAATAAGCTACGACTTCCCAATCGAACAAGCTGAAAACGGTGAGTTGGAGATAACATAATGAGAGCAAGAAGTGAGTTGCAGTCAGTGTCCTCCCGATTGCACTGCTGAAGAAAAAAGATCTTCTCCATGAGTTTCTTACCGCGGCTACCCTCGAATATAAGCTAAGTACCACACGCAAGCGCGCTCGTTGAATGCTCTTTTTGTTTACTTATTGTGATTGCGATAACCGATTCGTCACGGTTGATAATGATGGATATTTTGAAAAATCACACTTTCATGTGCTATAGATGCTGGCAATTAAGATGTGGAGAATAGAGCAACCGTGACGCTGGCTGAAACCACAACCCTTTCTTGGGATGAGCTGTGCATCCCGCCTCCATCAAAAATCATATTGGCACTATGAATGCAATGCGGCCTAGCAATCACTGAAGAGAGAGTAGGTGCACAAGTGCTTTATCTCCTGGTCGGTTGCGCCAATAACGAGCCTGAGGACGGATTGACAGTGCGTTGGCAGGAGTGGGCGTTTCGATGTGTGGACTTGTGCCCACAAGCATGGTACGCGGTCCCACTTGCAGTTACACAATTTAACCTCAAAAACCATCATACAATGTTCTTTAGTGTATGGTGTATTACAACAGTGATAGCAGGTAGCCAAAAACGGAGAATGGATATGGATAAATCCCCCTCCCCCCCCCCCCCCTCCCGAGCTTCCGCTCTAATGGTTAGCTCATTCAAAATAATGAATACTATCGGTCAAGGAAATGAATCAGCACCGCCTCTAGCATTAATCAGTGGTTAGGATAGCTTGTCCTTCCCCTCACACAAGCTTAAATTAGGTATCTGATGGTAAGAAAAGGTCGTCTGTGGCCGAAGACCCTTCAGCAGAGAACAAACATACAGAAAGATATTTAGTAGTTTAATTTCACATACTTGGTTATAGCTCTCCGACTTTGCTTGCTCCAGCAAAGCATCGATATCTTGTTCATGCTTGGAAAGCGGAGGATGAATCCACTGAAATACAGACGAAAAGTTTACGGATAAACCTATCAATGTTTACACAGCTGTAATCTATAAAATGAATCGATGCCAACAAAATAGGGAGGGGCGAAACGAACTCGAACGGAGTAATCGATTCAAACGAGATTTTCGAAAATTAGAACGAATATTCAAAAAAATTTAGATTTCCATCGAAGTAGAAGAGTAAATGGAAAGGAATTTCGTTCTTCTGGATGATATATATATATATAAATTTTGAAGTTTCTTTTCAAAGAAGTGCCCAAATGCGTTAGAACTCAAGGAGAAACTGATTCCCGGGGCCGTAAGGTATGCTTCCCCGAATGGTTGCGGGGACGAAAGTCCCTTTAAATTTTTTGTTTTGAACGATACTGTTTCTTTATTTTCAATGCATGCTTACTTTAAGCTACACACATATATTAGATGTAGGCCCTTTATCAGGACAATCCCAGTTGGGACTACAGAAAAAAAAAATTTAAAAGAACTGTCGTCCCCTAACCCTTCGGGCATACCTTACGGCCCCCGGAAGTCCTGAAAACCTAAGCTCTTTCACACAAGACAATCTCAAAAAGAGTATAAGAAGCAATTCACTACCACAATGCTTCGCTAGAAAAGTGCTTGGAATAAGGATAAGGCTGCGATATCCCGTCTTTCCAGAATTTTAAGAAAATTCACCGCTCGCATGAGTAGGAAAAAAAACGCTTATGAAATGAGAAAATAAAGAGCTGCACAAAAAGATCTCATAAATTAAATGATAATTTAGATCTTTTTCCTGCTTAAGAGAACGAAATCCTAACATGCTAAGAATGGCCGCTGACGAGTGCACCATATCTCGAAACCACACCGAATTCGAAATAGCTGGTCGCACAGCTGGTAGACTTTGAAGGAAAGCCTCCAATCACGATTCGAAAGTTGAATAACAGAATAGTAACCATTCGAAAACATCACCCCAGCCAATTTTAAACCCTCCGTTGGGTTACCCTTCCTTATGACTCTAAACATTTTTTTTCTTTTTTTTTTTTTTCCATTTTTTAATCCCTTTTTTCAAATCGAAAGCTACTAACCAATTCATTAAGATATGAGTGGGAAAGAAAAGTGCCAAGAGAATAAAATAAAAACCATTAAGAAAAATGTACCTTTCGGTATAAAATGGATGCACCCTTCGTCCACGGACTGAGTAACCATAACACAAAAACGATTTTGAGTTGATAGTAGAAGGGAAACCAGAAGGAGATGAAAATATCTGCTAGCGCTTCTACCAACGTGTACATCGCAAAAACAATCCAGTACATCATCCACTTAACGTATTCTCGTACATCTTTCGTCCGAATGGCCTGCAAATAGAAAACTCCAGTAACTCAAATTGCATTCTGAAAGGAACTCAGAAAGAAGGCAGAGAGGACCTAATGACCTTCCAAAACGCCCATGCGAAAAGAAATTTCTTAAAAATATTTCCCGTAAACAATTCCACGAAATGTCAGTCAGTCGAACAATACCGAGGGTAGGGATCTTTGGTGGACTAAAATTCAAACAGAGATCAAAACAGATCCTAAGATACTACAGTAAATATATACTATAACAGGATGCCTTGCACCCTAACTTGGGATTTTCAAAAGGAACTCTGAAGTAATTGGGGGGAGTAATAGCATCCTCGCAAAGAGAACAAGCCTACTTTGGACCCACCTGCCTGTGTGGGGACCTATTTTGTGGTTATGAATGATAAAAGCACAAAAAATCACCTTGTAGCTTCTGTAGGCAGGATACAATGTGCCTGCTGTTAGGGTAATCGCCCGGGACAGAACAACCGACATGCTGATGGAATAAAACTTGCTGACCTTTTGCTGTCCAGGCCTTTAGCCACTTCGAACCTTGAAAATAATTTTATCCTCGCAATAATCGCAATAACAGCATGACATATAGAGTATGCGAGTACGACTGAGAGAGAGCACATATAAAAAAACGGGAAAAAAGGAAGAGAACCGACGACGAAGTTATTCTCTGCCGCCTATTGATGGGGCACAATTCGTTCTCTAAAAACTGTCTCCAAACAGAAATGAAATTTTTATGGAAAAGATATTTTGGAGTTCTACATTAATGAGTTTCAATTCCGTACATTTGTTATTACGGGGGTCAAAACAAGGGGATAATCTAGTTTCCGTTCGCATGTGCCCTTCAAGCTCAAACTAGAGCTGATTTTGTTTCAAATTCATTCAGGTGGACTTAGATTTTCGAAGAGCTTCTCCAAGGTTCCCTCACTGCTAAAAGCTAATGTTGGAAGAGAATCCTATTCGCTTCAAGTTAATCCACTTCACTTCTTCTAGAAGGACATTCCTCGTCACTCATAGCCCTTTTCTACACCTCAGTAACTCTCACAAAATGAAGTCCTTCAACTCTTGGGAGAAGAGGAGCTTAACTCCAGTAAACTTCTAGGAGAGTGTGAAACGCTTCTAGGGAACTTGAAAACTAAAAAATGCGAACCCGATAGAGTAGACTTTTCAAAAACCCAGACTTTGTTCTCTATGACTGCTAGAACTCATGGTCAGCGAATTCGTGAAACATTAAATAACTGAGTCAAGTAAAGCACAGTGACCAATACTTGGCCAAAATTCTGTTGGCAACCACAAAATGGTCTTTCTTAACTACGTTCATCGCAGATGTGAAATTCCCTACGATATATTTGAGATTCTGCTATGAAACAGCAACTTTACAATGATTGTTTGATTGCATATCAGTCAAATATCAATAAGTAGCTACAAGAAATCCAAGGTAAAAGGTCAAGGCGACAGTTCACGAAGTGT